GAATAATTGGATAAATTATATGATTATTTGCTACCATAGAAAGTACCTCTGTACCGCTCCTGGATTCTAGCTGGTTTTATTTAATTTCTGTATCCACTGATAGTTGTTTGCCTAAGCAATGATGTTACCTATAACAGAACCTTGTTAGAAGTGGCATCACACAGGCCTTTTTTCATACTTGTTGAAACAATGTTATGCATTACTGTCTCTAAATCAAATGTGCTTAAATACCATAATCTCTTGGTATGTCCAGTATGATTTTAAAACACAAGGTATCATATGCATTAAAAAACACGTGGTTTTTTTGTTAGTTAAGTTTACTCCTATGCACAATTTAAGCAGCTTCCTTGGAGGAGGATGGTTACTTTGTTACTGACAGCATGTTTTTATAAGTGACTATTTTGTGTACTCACAGCGTAGCTGGGAGTGGAATTGTTCCTGTTATGGCATAGCAGTCAGCAGTCAGTTCCTTCCCATGCCATAGAGAGACTCTGAGCAGGAGAGTCCAGCTGGTATCCCAGCTCCCCATGGCTGCTCTCCCCCTTTGCCTTTGCAGAGTTCCATTCTTCTAACCTGCAGCAGGTTAAAGATACTTAATCCCTGATCCATCTCCTCCCCCTTTGTCTTTGAACAGAAGAATTCCATATTCCTTTTCTGCTTTCCAACAGATGATGAATTCCTGTGTGCCACTCACTCCTTTTAGATCTCTTCCTCTGTCTTACAGTGGGTTCAAGCTCTTCTGTTTGAGTTTGTCTCAGCCCTTCTCTTTTACTGCCTGGCTCTGCTCAGACTTGCCTTTAGTCTGCCTCTTGTGGAGGGGCTGTTGTTCTGCTGTCCAGCACTGACCTTTCCTGGGCCAGGATGGCCCTGGTACCTGACACCAGAAATAGTAAGAAGCAATTCTGTAAGTCTGTTCTTGCAGTTCTTTCTTGGGAGCACCGCAGGAGAAGGGAAATATTGCTTCACACCATTCATAGCAGCAATATATGGAGCATTACGAATCTCCTTCCATGATACACAATTTCTGGTTCAGAAGAGAAGAGCTTATAAATGGTAGCAAATATTCATCCTGGAGATGGATTTTTGTTTGTTAAAGAGTTGGGTTTGGTGTATCCCTGCTTAATCTATGGGCAGAGTTTTAAATGGTTTAGCTTGTTATTGGTTTTGAAGAAACCACTGGAACTGTTGTTGATTAGTCACAAGACTAATTTCTCTTGGAACAGTAAGGTTTATATTGGCACACAAATAGAGATGCTATCAGAAATTCATTGTGTGGCATTTGCGTAACTGGATAGCAGTCAATTCCATCTGCAGTTTCAAAACACATCAGAATTGTCATATTCTTAATGTATACACTGGATTCAAAAACAAATTCAGAGTGACCAGTTAGACAAATTTGAAGAATTAAAAAACGTATTATTCCAAAGCCATGTGCTGAGTCAGCATGGCTTAAATCACCATAATTCTACCCATAGTGTGTGATGCAAGATGAGCCACATCACACTAGAATGTTTTATTTGAAATTCCAGCCAAACACAGTTTGTTGATATGTTGGGTTCTTAGGCCTGTAATAAATGGCCATATAGTTTTGTAGGGTCAGTGTGTTCTATAAGTTACAAGGTCTTCAGCATACAGTAGTGTGGCAACATGAATGTGTTGGAGCTACAGCTGTGAGTTGTTTATAATTAGTTATAAAGAAGAATTATGCTGGCTGGCCTTTAGACTTCAACATTCCAAGATTCCAATAGTTGTGGGCTCAGGTAGACAAACCTGTGCGTGTTTTATGAGCTACTACTGCTCGTGCTACCTAGGGAGTGCTGTACTGCTTAGGAGTTTGCACTGGCTTCATTAAGCTTCAATTCAGTAGCTGTTTTATTAAACTTTCATGGCTTTTACATCTGAAATCATCTCTGAATTAAGTACATAGCCATTAAACTGTCCACCTAGTTTACCGGAATGCTTCCAACTTGATTACATGGCAGTTATATTTAGATTCTATGTTTCTCGGGGCAAGAGTATTGAGGCCCTTATAGAACACTTGGCTGAGGCATTCCTGAAAAGACCTCCACAGACTTTGACACCTGCAAGACTCTTCACTCGTGACTTTTGTTGTAAAGGGTAGGTATTCTGCTTACTAAAGCTCAGTTATTCAATTAATACCTTGAATTTTTCTGATAATGAAAATACTGTGATATCTCCCATTTGCAGGGGTTTTGTAAAGTTTCATTTTATCTTTTCAAAGACTTGATTTTTTTTTTCAGTACTTCATGTGATCATTCTGCTACTGTTACAGGATTTTGTTTTATGGATCTTTCTAAGTGCTTTGTGACAAGTTTATTTTTGCTCTGGGTGTGGTTTGTTATTTATAGTAGAAATATTCTTTATGTATAAACCTTCCATGCCAGGTATTTTACACATACAAACAATACTGAGCCAGAAGCAGCATGTGATAAAGCAGATAGGTCCAATTGTGATTCTCTTATGCTAGGTTGGATGTTCTGTTATAGAGCAGATTTCCTGTCTTTAATCATGGACTGGGTGTTACCTTGTACTCCTGCTGTCATTTACTGTTCTTTTCTTTGTTCAGCAGCAGATGAACTTGACCCCTGTTCAGTTTAACTCAAACCACTCTGCCCATTTCTTTGTCTTTGTTTCTCCCCACTCCACCAGTGGCTGCTCTTTAAGAACACGTGATGTGAAATTACTATTTCCTGTGACTTTGTTTCAGAAACCTGTAATGGTTAACTGAGTGATGATCTTGTCCAGCTGACTTTGATGCCACTCAGTCTGAGAAACCAACATTTTAGAAGCAGTTTTGAACTATATGTTAGTATTTATTGATGCTACATTGTTTCATATTAGCAATTTTATTTTAAATTGTCTAGTGCAAATGTAGGGTTGCACACGTGGGTGTTGTGTTTGGTTTTACTAGTTGTGATGCTTGCAGGAGAACTTGGTGCTATCACAGCCTGTTACAAAGATACATTATTAATGTGACTTTCCATTTTCCCCAAATTGTTTTGATGGTTTGTTGTCTAATCTCCTAGTGCTTATACTGCAAAAACTCACTGATCATTCTAAATTGATTGTAAAAGTTTTCAATTAGGTAGTGCTTTGGTATTATTATTTAAAACTGTGGATTAAATTTTAAAAAAAGTAAATAGATGGACTACACTTTTGGAAAAGGTTTCAAAAGTATATCCAAAGACAGTTGGGAAATCCTCCATACTGGATGTTTTGTTCTAACATCTTCCTCTCCTTTTCCAGTCCCTCTGCAGTCCTACAGGTTCTAATTTATTTGTCAAGTTCTACTTGTGACCTAAAGCTAAACAAAATCCTTTTAAAGACCAGGAGAGAAGGAAAACCTCCTGAAAAGTTCTCAGATTCTGAAACAGCTTATAAACAGTCCTGAAGCTGATGGGAAAAGAAAAGGAATTTTGAGTTCTTCTTGATTTGGAGGAAGCATTTTGAGTGGGTTTGTTGGTTTCTCCATGAGGACTCCCATTCATTCCAAACACAGAGGTGCTTTCACGACTGGATTTGGTCAACTGGATTTGTAGAATGAATCCTAATTATCTCTAAACATAAGAACAAAATTCTTCTTGAAAGCTAATGTTGTGGTTATAATGTGAAAAATGATGGCCATCTTTTGCAATCTGACACAAATGCTTAGTAAGAACAAAATGATGGTGCCTTCTATTTATGGCAGCCTGGAAACAAATTTTGTTATCACAGTAGCAACCAGAAAATAAGGTCTCTGCTTTGCTGGATATTACACAAACATATTAATAAACTACTATTTCTCTAAAGAATTTACAATCTAAGCATGTGCAAGAACATACTGTAACATTTCTTTAATAATACTAAATTAAATTTTCAAAGTAAATTCAGATCTGTTGAAGCTCTTAAATTTCATTCATGATGACAGATTTTTGCAATTCCTGTGTTCTGTGATGTGTTTTGAAATGGGATATCCCATTCCAATGGAAGATGAATATAATATGATATGTATATATGCAGCCTATATATTCAGTGTATATAATATGATCCTAATGTGATTTGAAGTAATATTCTCAGGATATGTAAAATGCATACTTAAAAATATTTATAATGTTGTTATAAATAATACTTGTAAAATATTGCAGGCTTATATATAGAATTTATATGTATTTCCTTGGAAAAATACACTATATTCTGCTGGAAGGGTCTGAAAAGAAGATGGCTAGGTTGGGTTTGCCTCACTTTTGGGCAGAGAAGATAGGTCAATAGCATTCACTGAGCATGATGTGCTTCAGAATTTTTTAAGTCTTGGCCTAAAATGTCTGCTTTCTGAAAGGCCTTTCAGTCAGTATTTTCTGTCTGCAGAGATGTCATGGCTCCTCTTCTCAAAGAAACCGGTTGCTCACTGGTATCAGTTTCACCTTTTATCTTCTTCCTCCCAGCTCAGCAGAAATTTTTTATTCTGAAGAAAGATTGTACCAGCTCACTAAGGACTTATTTTCTTTAAAGATTAGGTTTGAATTGCTGTTATCTTGCTACCCAAATTAATTTTTTTTTTTTTTTACATTCTTGCCCACTGGAAGAATGCAGAATTCTGGTGATAGAAAAACCAGCTCTGTGTTTGTAGATCCGAGCAAGTCACAAAAGACTAAACAGGATAGGGGCAGATGAAGAGTGAGGTGTAATTCTTTCTTTCTAATTATATTGAATTTCTAGGGATAAAATAAGAGTCTGCACTTGTCCTTACACGCAAAATTGGGGTGCTCTGCCATGCTTATATTTGCTCCTTTATTTCGGGTGGATTCTAAAACAATCTGTACTTAATTTTTACCATTATGCCTCCATTAATTTAAGAATTCTTCCTAAACACATCCCGTAACTTCTCAAATGCTAAAGAAAAGAAATCTGTAAAATAAATACTTAAAATTTCTGCCCAGTATCTACCAGCTGTTTTGTGTGCTGAGACAACTGCATTTGGACATAGTTGTCTGCCCTTGAGTTTAAAGCCCATTGCTGCTGTTTAAGAATTGCACAGGTGGAGATGGAATATTTCAGTTATTGAGGCTCAAAGTTCCCAAACACCTATCTGTTATTTTAGAAACCTCTTAGTGATATCTTTACTTTCATCATACTGGTGCTGTTCACGTATTGGCTGTTTGTAAAACACTTTTGTCTGTTTAAAATATTATTTTGAGAGAAAAACCATGACAGAGATAGCCACAACAGTGCAGACCAGCTTCTGACACTTGCAGTGCACTGCATGACAGGAAGCAAGAGCAAACCGTGTGGCTGCATGGGGAGGAGTTCCTGCCGAAAACTGAGGGACAGACATAGGCGCTCCTTTGTAGCAAAGGCTTTCCACTGTCACGCTGAAAATTAAGGAACCTGCTAAAATCTGAGTACGATACAAAATAACCCATGGTGTGGTGCTGCTTATTTGTGCATCATCAGGTAAGGGTGAATCAGGATTGTGTAACTTTTTATTGTTTGTGTGCACGTTGGAATTGCACAGATATTCCTTCCAAGTGTGCCACGATTTAAGATTGGGTATTGATTAAACCGAAATGTTGCTTGGCAGGAATGTTTCCTTATGTAAGGAAAAAAAATTTGCTGAAAGTTGAGGAAACGTACTCTGCTATTCCCAATGGGATGGAGGATGGTTTATTTTTCTCTCTGTATTGGTTGTTTGTTGCCGCAGGGTGATGGGTTTAGGTCTTCTGCTTATCTGTCATACCCATGTAAACATCTCTGCCTCAGTCTCCTTGCCTGAAAATGTGAATTTTAGTTTATGCTAGGGCTTAAAGAGGAATATTTATAGTGAGATGCATTATTGTCTTCATTGTCAAAGTGAAAGCTGTAACACATCTACTTACGCTGTATTTACACTGCAGGATGATTCTGCTCTGCAGCATGTGGATGTGGTATCACCTGGAAAACTGGCTGCTCTTATGGACACAGTTTGGAGAGATGTGGACAGAAAAGTAGCAAGGTCGATAGTAGCTGTAGATAATACAGCCTTTGAGGGAGGTTTAAAATATTCAGTCTGTCTTGTGTATAGAAAAGCAAGGTGATATAAGATGTGAGTATAGGTTTATCTGAGTGTGTGTAAACAATTGCAAAGTGGGCACTAGTTCTCTGTATTTGCAAAGTGCAGCATGGGAATAAATGGGCTTTTTCATGGCAAGGGAGATTCAGGTTAGATATTTTGGGGATAAATGCTTCCTGACTGTCATATTCATCAAGAGCAGAACAAAGTATAGAGTTAAGATCTGTCATTTCAAACTGCTGTATAAAAACTTTCCTGTCTTACATGTTGCAGTGGCTAACATTTAGTACTTGCTTGTTCTTAATGATTTGTGTTGAGCTTTGATTTTGGACTGTTAATATGTGAATAAAAGTAGCCCATTAGGGACACCAGTGAACAGAAGTGATCTCAGATTTTGCAGCTCCAGCCCCAGTTTACAGCATCCTTTCTTGGAAAACTTAAAAAAAAAAAAACAACTCTCATTTAGGAATCCAAGTTATTTCAAAATATTGTGTATAAGTTGACTAAAACTGTACTTTGAAGTTTTCAGAAATATGTGATCAAGGCAGGGGGCTGTAGTGCCAGACAAATCAGGGACATGGAAACCTTATGGATCTACAACACCTGATAGGAAGGTGTAGCCAGATGGAGATCAGTCGGTTTTTCCAGGTGTAACAAGTGACAGGACAAGAGGAAGCAACCTCAGGTTGCACCTGGGAAGGTTTAGATTGGATATTAAGGAAAATTTCTTCACTAAAAGCACTGTCAAACACTGGAATGGGCTGCCTAGGCCAGTGGTGGAATCACCATCCTGGGAGGTTTTTTAATGCCATGTAGTTGTGGTTCTGAGGGACGTGAGTTAGTGGTGGCTTGGCAGTGCTGGGCTAATGGTTGGACTTGGTGATCTTAGAGGGATTTTCCAGCCTAAGGGATTCTGTGACTTGATGTTCAAGAGCCTGTGTGCCTGCAAGTGCACAAAACCTTTAAGAATAGAGTTAGAGCATTTGAAAAAAACCCACTTTGATTATTCTTGCTTTTACAACCAATCCTATGCTAAACTCCCTCAGCACAAACATACAAGGCCAGGAGCTGCAAATTCATCACCTCAGCTTGCCGAAGACTAAGGAATCCAGGGACTGCTTGCATGCTGACTGGTTATGTTACTTGGAGACATACAGAACTGGATCTGACAGATCCCAGCTGAAAAGTGTTTGAAAGAAGAACAGAAGCTGAGACTAAATAGTGTATGGACTCTTTTATATTGCATCTTATTTTTTATTTATATAGTAGGTGAGTTTAAAATTATTAGATATTGATTGTGTTAATTAGAAGCATAGTTTATGTAGGAGTGTTCAGATTCTGGCTGAAAAAGGATTCTCATGCAACAAAAATCTCCTGTGGAGAAGAAATAAATGTGACTTATTTAGCTGAATTTGCTTTGGACTTTACTGTAAAGTTTGCAGAAATGTTAGTGTATTTAAATGTTCTAGATTCCAGTTACTGGTCCTCTCCCCTGTCTTCTAAAAAGGGGAAGGAAGAAGGTTAAATAAAGACAAAGTAAATACCAGTCCTCAAACAAAGCTGTGCTAATCCTTGTCCTTACAGCATCCCGTACATGCACACCCATTTCCTGTTGTTCATGTTAAACACATTGAACATAACTTTCATTTCATTGTTCACTTCAGTGTTCCTTTTACATTACATGGACCGGAAAATCTCCAATCCATCACAAGCAGTGCAGAAGCAGAGCCTGCTGGCTGTGGTGAAGGGAGGCTGCCAAGGAGCTGCCATTTTGGCCAGCAGAGATGGAAGTGTTTGAGAAGTATGAAAGTCATCAGTGGCAGAGATGACCTCCCCACCATTGCAGTTTTTGCTGTTCTGTAACAGAGTCTGTTTTTTCATTTGTTTGTTTTCTTTGGAATATCAGGAACAAGCAAGTCCTGTTCCTAACACCAGTATCCAGGGCTCCTGCCAGCTGAATGGGTGCCGGGTGGGAAACTGGACTGATACCAGTCTCTGTGCAGACACATTTCTAAGAATTTAGAATGGAGAGATGATTTAACAAAAGTCAGCAGCTCTTCTGAAAAGCATTTCCTTCACCATCACAGGATGGGTTTTGTCAAACTATTTTTGTGCATCTTTGCATTTCATCTCCCAGGTGGTAAAGTATAAATCTGTGATATTAGTAATTAATACCCGGTGATGGAGACTGTGTTAATCCAGCCTTTCTTATAACAATAAGGAATAATGTCTTATTGCTCTAATTCCTTTAATGAAATAAATACTTTAATATATAATTGGATATCTTACCTTCTCATCTCCTGTGAGATAATTATAGAAAGCAACTCTTTCCTGCTGTGCTAAGGCCAGGAAGTGTCCTGGCTCTGTAACTGTGGATGTAGGCAAAGCCTTTTGAGCAACAGTAACACAAACATGAGGATTCAAAATTATGATAGAAAAAGCTTTTTCAGCCTGGAGGTACATGTTCAGATGCAGGTAATGCACCTGTGTGGTCAGTCAGAAAACACAAATACATTTCTCATCAGAGCGTGTACTTGCTACTATTTTCATACAGGTGTATACCCGTTTTTTAAGGTCTCTAAATACTGTGCAAAAAAAAGTTATCAAAGTGTTCCAAGCTTGCCTGTTTTCCCAGCACAGCAAACAGGATCATAATGTTTTTCAATTTAGTTTGGTTCATGTACATACAAATTCTAATAAAGAGATGCTCTGTGGTGAGATGGCATTTGCCCATTGCTCATAGCCCAGTGTGGGGTTAGCAGGTGCTCTGTGGTCAGTGTGTCACACAACGCTGCAGTGGGACTCTCATGTCAGAGTGTGCTGGGGATGGTGAGGGAGCAGGGCTGGAGAGAGGACTGAGCCTTCCCTGCTGTGGGATGCTGCAGTGCTCACCCAGCCCTGCCCTGGGCTCTGCCAGGGCTGCTACACCACCCTGAGCTTCTGGGCTGCTTTGGTGAGAGCTTTGTGTTGCTTCATGTGCCGTGTGAGCTCAAACATAAGATGGAGAGCAAGAATCAAGGGGGGATTTTGTGGGACAGGCAGATTCAGGGGTCAGTTGCATTGTGCTATGACAGCTGAGACAGGACTTGTAACCCCTTTGGGGAAAAGATGTTTGCAAAGAGCAGGGATTAATTTAATGAGCATCTTATGCTCCCTGCACAATATCCACTGCAATCTTTGCTTCTAATCCACTTATTATGGGCAAAGAAATTTATCTATGGTCTGGTAGTTCAATTATTGGATTTTTTTTTTTTTTTTGCCATGAAGTTCTGCCTCCCTCTTACACAATGGTAATAGCCCTTGAAACTCTCAGAAATATGAAATCATTAATCTTGCCTGCAGTGGTTAATATTTGACAACTTTTATATTAAATTACTGGTGTTGCATAACCACTGAGGCTCACAAAGAACATAATGAGTATAATATTTGCAAGCTTCCAGATAACATTTCATATTCAGTAGCTTTTATATTAAGTATGTACTACTTTTCAGTAAGTAGAAGATCTAAAATAAAGTGAGGAATGATCCTTTGATTAGCACAGTGAAGTAAGGGGTAGAGCAAGAGATCTATTTTGTGGAGGCTGTCCAAGACTTACTCAATATGTAATTGCTTTTCCTATACTTTACTTTTATCTTTTCATTGCTTTTGGTCTGTACATCACACTTGATACTGATTTGTTCCTCAGGAGTGTATTGATATTTAGTTATATAACCAAAGAGGTTGCTTCTAAATAAGCTTTAAATTTGCTTTTAAATAAGCTCTAAATAATATTTTAATTCCTGGTGAATCCATTTTGTCCTGTGCTTTACCTGAATAGCCTCGCCATGGATGCTTGTCCTCATGGCCACTGCTTTGGCCATGATACCTCTGTGTTTTGGACCCAGACACGCATATCCTGCCTCATTCAAGTTCACTTTAATCCTGTAGCCTTGCTTAGTACGGTAGTAGTTCATATTTAGTAATTTATAATTATGAAACATGAACTGATACTATCATATAATTAATTAATATAATTAATTTCATAGTTCATAATTTACAGTTTCAGTCCACTTTCCTTAGAGTTGGCCAGTGGTGGAAGCACCGCCTTCTGTGTTAATCTGTAGCCATGTGACTGCAGTAAGACTCTTACAGTTGGTTATTTAACAAAGGAGCCCATTTGTTGTGTGTGTGGTCATTTGTCACACTCCATTAGCAGTGAAATCGAGTCTAAAATGTCAGACTTAAAGCAACACCATCCCAAGCTGGGGATGCAGTTGCATCCTGTTCATCCATGCACTGGAAGCATCAGTTAATGTAGACTCAGGTACACCAGGTCCATGCACCATTTTAATTTATTTTTCTCTTGTAGAAAGCTGTATTCCAAATCCAAATGCTCTTCATTTTTCATTAACCTGTGTCCACTGTTTGGAGGGCTGGTACTTTTCAGTTTTACAATTTCTTTTTGTGAAGTAAAGGTGTGGAGTAGACTTAAGTAGAATCAATATATCATTTTTTGAGTACAACTGAATGATGCATGCATTTGGGTCCCCAGAATTCTAATTAGGATTGAAGAACAGTCTGCAACATGTTCTAGTCTGCAACTAGAATCTTAGGAGATGTTACTCTCTGGGCAAAGTACTGACCTGACAGATCTCATCCCTGATTTGTGTTTTTCATGATGAATTCACATTTGCTAACCACAGAATAGTAATTCAGATTAGTTTATCCTGTGGGGAAAAAAACAAACCTTACAAAAGACTGAAACAGGATAAGCAAACATAGTCAGTATTATTTCAGATACTTCTGTTCATAGCTCAGTGTAGTCTGGTCCAGAAATTTCTGTGTTCTAGTCAGTTCTTTAATTTGTTGCAAATAATCCATACTGTAGCAGTAAAAGGGATTTGATTGTGCTTATTCTGAGGGTGAAGATTTACTTTCATAAAACACTTCTCACTGTGTAATGTGGTGACAGAACTCAGGGTCCAGTTTCTGGACAAGAATACTGTTAAAACACAACTGTTGCTGACTTTGAAATTATTGTTTAAAAAAAAGTATCAGAATTTATTTTCTGAAAAAAGCACAGAATTGTATTTGAATGAGTCAAAGATCTGCCGAATACCAGTGAGTAAACATAAAATATTTCAACACCAAGGGTTTCGTTTTAAAAGAGTATGAAATCAAAACTTCTGGATTTTGTGATAAATATTCCTTATCTTTTTTCATCAACCAAACAGTTCTCAGAAACCATATGCTTGATCTTGTAGATCTGAAGTTGTTTCACTGGCTTTACAAGAGCTAGGAGAATGGACACTGGAGATGGGAGAGGATACAATTTTTCTACCTTTTTTTTTTTTTAAACTAAAAAATACCTTAATTGTGTGCAGCTTCTATCTTTTAGCTGAGCTTTGGACATCCCATAAACTATGAACTCTGTATGGCATCTGTCTGGGGGTTTTGGTCTCTAAATTGCTCATCTTTGACTTCCATAGACTGGAAACTAAATCCCAGCTATAATAATGTGTGACTGCTTATCTGGTTGGCATTGGAAGACAGCACAGCTGGATAAATAAGAAACATGTATTCTGTGACTTCTCTTGTTTCCTGAATCTTCCTGGCCTGGTAGACAACACAGAGCTCTGTTAAATGACATTTCACACTTATTTGAAGTGCATGAAGATTAATCTTGTGGTGAACCTGTGATATGACGCAAGGAAGGGCTTGCCATTTGCAAATCCAAAACCTGAATATGGAGCAGAATGCAATCACTGACATGGAGAGTGAAACCCTAACATACCCTAATGTAATTCCTGCAGTACATTTCACCTTTTATATTGACTGTCTGCGGATAGGACTTGATTGCTGAAGGTGGCCTTTGAAAAATCTTAAGTATAGGCTTTCAGCACAAAATATGAGTTTCTCTTCCTGACAGTCTTAGTAGATACAAAAGTTCATATCAAGTGCCAAAGTACAGTTTCCAACATGGAGTAATTATTATGCTTTTAGTTAGAAGTAAGTTTCTTAATTGAAGTGAACCTACCTGAGCAGAAAAGGAACAGCATTAGCACATTTCACAATGTGCTAATAGGTAGCTTTTCAACTCATGAAAAGAGAGTTTATGTTCACATACATGGTGATTATAATGATAATGAGAGTAAGTTAAATATATATGCACATATATTTATGTGTATGACATCATGATGTATACTTGTCTCAGGATCAAGCCAAAGGCAGTTTGGTACTGTTCATCAAAACTGAGCTTTCTTTTCATTTTGCTTTATAGAAAAAACGGAAACAGAGTACTCAAGATGAAGATACAATCAGTATCTGCAGCCTGGATACAAGTGTAAGTAATTTAATTTTCTTTTTTGCCCTCCCTCTCTACCCCCTGAAACTAAAATTTGGAGTACATTAGGAGTTAGGAATATTCTGAAATAAGTCAGTTCCATCTTCTCAGCTGTGTTGTTTTCATACATAGCGTGAATAACTTGTTCTGCTTGTTATGAAAAAAAAATGTCTGTTATATTTCTTCTCTCATTTTCTGTATTAAACCTTTAAAAGAAAAATGTCATAATGACAGTTTATTGTAAAGCATTGAATCTCTTATTATTAATTAGTAAATAATTAATAGGACAAAAGGACTTTATGAATGCAGGATTTAAATATAGGCCTTTTATACTGTTGAATGGGTGTATCAGAAATTCCATTTTGGTTGTCGGTGGTGGTTAATGCAAGCTGTAAGAACCAAACACTTTCATTATGGTGAGGGTTGAATCAAAGTATTAATGAGGGTAATTATGCAGTAAACAGCAATGTGTGGTATTTTTCCTGTAAACTTGTGACGTACACTTGAAGTTATAGTTTCAAACCCATGGAACTAAAATAGAGGTTGGAAAATTTGTCAATCATTCTGTTCAGTGTCTTCATCAATATTTGAAGTGTTCTGTTTACAGTCAGTTGTTGAACCAGTTTTCCTTTTCTGTAGACCTCTCACATAGTGCAGACAGAAAAAATAATGTAAAAATAAAGAATCAACACTGCTTGTTTTAACAGTTTTATTTATTAGCAAATGTCAAACCTAGTGCTGTGGTTTCTTTAGTGATCAGATGTTAATTTTGGTTTGAAGTATACCTGTTATTTGAAGCATTCATTACATTTAAGGGCTCACCTGCCTGGATGGTTGCAGAAAAACATAATCTCTTGCAGGCACTTCAAGTGATTTGGGTAGAATCCAGCACTATTCTGGAAATCATAAACCCACAGTAGCCTGACCTTGTCTGTGAGCTAATACTTTAATGTTAGTTTATCCCATCAGAACTTACATTGGGCCCAACTTCAAAAGAATTGTTATTTCTTTAAAGGAATTGTTGTTCTTCAGGGAAAATTGGAAATTGTTGACTATTCATTATTATTTTGGACAAATTGATAATTTCTGGATGATTAACTCTGATCTGGGATGGAAAATGCTGGGTTTAACTATTTTTATGTTTCTGGAAAAAAGCGTGTATTTTATTCTTTGGTGATCAAGACAATTAGATAAAATTTCCTTGTGTAGAATCTGTTACACTGCTGTAGAAATACTTGGATGAATATAGCTTCTCTCTTGGCTAGTAGCTAAGTTCCTGCTAATAGAATTCCTGGAGGAGGGTGATTTAATGTGATCTTACTTCTGAGTTTGCTCCATGCAAATACAGACAGAGCACTGAGCAAAGTGTGGTTTGTGGTTTTCTGATGAGCAATAGATACAGC